TTGGTATCTAAAAAGGCAACATAATTTAGATTTTTATTAAATGATAAAGACCAATATGGAAAAAAATTTAAATGACCAAAACTTATGTTTTGAAACTTAAAAGACTAAAATCTAAAGAAAGACAAATTTGAGGACTAAAAATTATATTTAGAAAAAAGTGAACATCAAGTTTGTGCAACTTGGTACGTCGGTGAATTAGCAATGCTGCATGGGAGTGGAAACTAGAAAAATGAAAATTGAATTAGAATCCATAGTTTGGGCTGTTTGGCGTCCCTGAATCTAGTCCTTTGTATAATCTAATTCTTTCATATTGCCTTGAGATCAATTCTGCCATTCCCCACAGAACGGGCTAGAGCGTATTATAAACGGATGTGCTAAGTTCATGCCTCTTGGCTAGGGAATACGGACATGAATATATACGTGTGTGGTAAAAGTCTCTCAAGCCATATTTTTAGAGTTTTTAAATAAACTAAACAAAAAGGAAAAGGAAAAAAATGGTTGAGCGCTTCAATAACTCAGATTTCAGTTAACAACAAGCTGTCTTAGGCAGCGTCATCTGCTATGTTTGGATGGATTCTCAAACATAATATTAACAGTGCATGTATTTAATTTAATTGTATAAAATAAAAAACATATAGTAGTATAGTTCAAAGAGGGAAAGAAATGGTTGATCAGAATGGAAGTAAAATGTGAATGATTACGCCTGAGTTTCCAGGGCACGGGGCCTTGTTTTCACTACTAAAGTCTGATTAATTTTCTTAAAAAAAATAAATTTAACAGAGCATAACTTTACAAGCTGAAGTTCACATATTTAAAAATAATACGTTAATAATTTGTTTTAATAAAGTAGTACTCCTTGGTTGTCTCGTCTTTTATGCCTATTATCCTTGTGGTGCAATGCAGAAATCCAATACACTATTGTGCTCATTTAAAAAAATATTAAGTTGAAGACCATGAATTAATTAATTTCTTAATTAAATCTCAGGTTCAAAAAATCAGACCGGTCATTAAACCAGTTAAAGTAAGTTAACAGTTAATGGGTTATATTGAAATCAACTCGAGATTAAACCGGTCATGATTTATAAAATATGATTTATATAAGAGTTTCAAAATATTCACATTTAAATATAAAAATTACTTAATATAAGTAATATTTAAAATATCTTATATTAAAAAATTAAAAATAATATAGGTATATATGGTGTATTGTAATAAACCAGTACGCTTTTGCTCCCCTCGGCTTCTTCAAGTATGGTGAGGGGTACATGAAAATATGTGCAGTGCGTTACAAATACTCCTCTGGTTCTATTTATAGGACAGAAATAAAAGGTTTTTTAAGTCCTATTTATAAGTCATTTCATTAAATTTTTATCATGAATGTACCATATCATCCTTCATTTATAATAATGTAGATAATTATTTTTTTAAAAGGAGTATATATTAAATAGAGGTAAAATTAGAAAGTTATTATATTTTAATGAAGAGTTAATACAGTTTATAATTTTTTTTATCTATGTAAAATATGTTGAAAGTGTTTTATAAATAAAATTAGATGAATACTATTTTAATATTTGTATGATGACTCATAAAGCTTTAGAAAGCGAAGAGAGAGCTTCGGTCGAAAAAAAGAAAAGAAAGAAAGCGAGGAGAGAGAGAACAGCCACCTACGCATGACCCGTTTTGTCGGCTATCCTTAATGCACAAGGCAGCTTTTATTCATCCTTCTTTTCGAATTGGAATTTTGAACTTCCGTGTCAGCTATTCTTTACTCCCATGTTCAGTCGCCCGGCTCAATCAATTAGCAGTAATCAAATATATTAGTTTATAACATCGGAATATATGAGTCTTATGTGACAATATATAATAAATCAGCACAAAAAACAAAAGAAGGGAGGCTATACAAGCTATAACAGTACACTAAGCCTCCAAGGCCTTTCCGGATAAATCATCACCTGAACTATCATTTGTAGATAGTAGCAACCACGGGATGAGACAAACGCCTCAGTAACCAGCTTTCCAACTCATCATACATATTAAAATGTGCTCGTGAGGTGTCAAGTGGGACAATTATTAAATCTCAAGAAATATAGATATATCAATGAAAATATAAAATATGTGTATTCAGATAATCTCAATCATCTAAACCCTCATTACGGGAGCTAACACACAAGTCATATAAGTCTATTCCTTACTATAGGAGATCAATTAGACATATAAGTCTATCCCACACTTTGAGGGATGAATAAAAAGCTACAAAGGTCTATCCCTTACTCTAGGGACGAAGGAAGCCAACCAATGTGCACCAATGGTGGCCTTACCATGTGGTATGATAGGTCTCAATCCAAAATCCAAATAACAACTAATCATTCACAATATAAAGAAAAATGTCTCAATCTTTTCTCGATATAATCCATAAGATATAAATCATATATTTTTCCAAACTTCTCAATCACAATTGCAAAAATCCCACGAGACAATTTTCATAGCTCAAAAAGTGTAACATATTTACTCAAGTTCAAAATAACAAATCATTATTCTAAAATAGCAAAATACTCACAAACAACATATTAGCACATATAACAAGTGGAAAGTGGTTACCTCTCGTCAAAGCAATAGAAAGGATTACCACGAAGTCAATCCTTTGCTCAACCAATAATTAATCTACACAATTAATATAACCACATATTAATATAAGCTAATCAACTAATTAATTAAGCTTATATATTAGTTAAATTCCTAATTTAATTTAATTTTCATTCTAAATTTTCACAACTCTCATAACCCAAAATTAAGTACTTTAGAACTAACTTATAATTTTCTAACAAGCCAAATTATTTATTTACATCCTCCGGGTTATTCACTTTAATAAAAAGAATTTTTCTAAATTTCTAAATATGAAATTATTATATTTTAAATTCTAAAAATCTCATTTGAAATTTAAACCTCAAAATCAAACCATCAAAAATTCAAGAGTACCTCAAATATTTATAAATAACTAACCTAATCAAAATTTTAATGATATAACTAACATATATATATTTCCATAAATAATAAAATTTTCAGCTAAAATAATTATTTTAAAACCTCCAGTCACCCAACAAATAAAACTAAATCAATTAAAATCTTAATAATATGCCAAAAAATCCAAATAAATTATTTAAATTAATTTAAATTGATATAAACATGATATCTCTCATAAACAATAGATTTTTCAACTAAAAATTAATTTTTTAAATAATAAAACCAACAAATAGATAAATCTAAACCGATAGAAATGATCTACTATAGCATATTTACAATATTGTGGTTAACACTCATCAAAACTAAATATTTGCTCCAAACTTTATACCAAAAATTTTCTTTAAGCAACATAAAATTACTATCATTAGGTAGATTTGATTGAGAGAACAACTTTCAAGAAGGAAGTTTTGTAATCAGAAGTAATTTTACTTACCAAAATGACCTGTAATGATAAAGAAAAAAGGGATAGAGAGAGCGACGCTGCAGGCAAATGAATGAGAAGAGAAGGAAAAAGACAGATGGTAAAAAAAAACCACTCGGGATAAACTGAAGTTAAAAACCCTATTTGAAACGAAGAAAATAACAGTTTGAATAACCCCTTTTTTTCTTTCTAATTTTCAAATATTTAGACACTTGGAATAAAAAAATTAAGATGTTATACAAATGGATAAATAACTTAATAAAATGAAGTGGACAATTTATAATTCGTGAGGTTTTTTAATTAGAAATTTTTAGTAGGTAAACTCGTGGTTTTACATACTTAAGTAGATCAAATCAAAGCAATTTAGAACTCTAGTTACTTCAAGTTAGTCTTAAAAATTCTATGAATGTTGTTATTTGGTTCTCATTTTAATGTTATAATTTTAGAGAACATGATGATTGGAATCTAAAAGTTTCGTGAGGTTTTTTAATTAGAAATTTTTAGTAGGTAAACTCGTGGTTTTACATACTTAAGTAGATCAAATCAAAGCAATTTAGAACTCTAGCTATTTCAAGTTAGTCTTAAAAATTCTATGAATGTTGTTATTTGGTTCTCATTTTAAAGTTATAATTTTAGAGAACATGATGATTGGAATCTGATGATGCCTCTGTCGTTAAAGCACTCAATTAAACTAGGTCCCAACTAATTTGTAGTTTAGGGTCGACCTAGGTCATTACTTCCAAGGAGCAAATTATGGGTTTCTTTAGGTAAAAATTTAGGTGATAAAAAAATACAATAAATTGGACCTAAACTAAAATGCAAAATTCTAATTCTAAATGGAAAATGCAAATATCCTAAAATCTATATGAAAATTAAATTAAACTAAATAAATGCAATGCAATTTTTGGGGGGTTTTTTGAAGGAAAATAAAATAATGAATAAAGAAAATTAATCAGAAAGCAAAGGGAATCAGCAAGTACAAATTCAGAGATTTCTCTTCAGGTACGGTAGAGGGGACAACTTAGGATTTGCATGGATTTAACCTTCATAACCTTAATCAGTTAATTAAACCAAAGGAAAGTGATAAGAGAGTGGAATTAATAAACTTAATTACCTACTTGAAATAAAGGAAACCCTTAACTTTAAAAACCCTTAAACCAGTAGAGAACTCATAACAGTATAAGGTTGGTTAATTAAGCCTATTAAAACCAATGAAGATAATTCAATTTAATTTTGGAAATTATGTTTGAAATTATCCAATTAAACAATTAGATAATCAACCAACTTAATTAAACAATTAAGAGGTGAAAGAACCCAAATTTTGCAATTCAAACCACATTGATAATTAAACTCATAATGAAAACTCAATTATAAATTCAATTAACAATGCAAAGGTTCTAAACATAAATTCCAACAAGTATCTTGGCACAAATAAGATCCAAATATCAATTTAATCCAAGAATAAAATTGACAATCTAGAACTAAATTGTCTCAACAAAATTACAACTTGAACTCATTTAAAACTAAAGAATTTCAAGTCCTTGAATTAAAAAGATAAATGAAACATCACTCCCTTGTGGTCTTCAAGTGCTAGCCCAAGGCTCTAGTCTCCTCCATGCTCCTCCCAAGTTGCCTCCCTATAAGCTTAAGCTGCCATCAAAATGTCTCCTCCTCCAAGGTTATTAGATGCCATAGCCATGAATGATAAGATGTAGATGGGAGTTTGGCCGTGCAATGAGAAAGGAGAGGAATGATTGAAATTGGTGGGTGAATGACGTGAATGAGGGGGAGGAGATTTGGCGTTCAAAAATTGTTGTCCGTGCGTCAATCAATGGAGAATAAAAAGGTGTATCCTTAGGAGTGCATTGGAGGGGTTATTTTAATGGGAGAAAAGAAAATTCTCTTGGATCCAAAACTCAAGCCCATTAGTAATTAATTGACCCACTTGATATTAGTCATTGGATTGTGCTTAAATCCCAAGAAACAATCTTGCGCCATTAGATTTCCTATGTGGTCTTTCTTGACCTACAAGAATTTAAGTGCATCCATTAATGTAGATTATATCCAAATATAATCAAAAATTAAATATTAGATATGCACAAAAATTAGGTAAGAAAGTGCAAAACTTTCTAAAAATAGTCTTTCCAAAAATATGAGACTTGTTTTCAAAGAAATAGGAAAAATTAATTACAAGTTAAAAATAGGAAAGCACAAAATATCTATATTTTTAATCCAAAATCTCAACTTTTATGCAAAATCCAACAATCAACCAATTAATTCAATAATGCATAAAAAGTTCATTTAAGCTCAAAATTATTATTTAAATCCTAAATTAATGTGGGATAAAATATATAAAAATTGGGCTTTATCATAATCCAAAAGTTTAAAGTAATTTTTATAGAATGAATGAATGGCGAGTAATTTTTATCAAATGGATGAATGACAAATAATCTTCATGGTATGAATGAATGTCAACCTTTAATCATTAAGCTTAGAATAAAGAGCGGATGAGCGTTTCCTAGGAAAGATCATTCAATATATGATTCTTTCTTTTTCTAGACATATGATCTAGTTAACTAATTTTGAAAAATTAAAAAATTGTTTAAGTTGGCTGTTTTTCATTATTTGGAATTTTGGAGGGGACAGAGGAAAATGAGTGAGTTTTTGGATGGTTGGAAAAATTGGAAGAAAAAGAAAGAAGACAGTTTTTCTTTCCTTCCCCTCCTCTAAAATTGAGAAGTTTTGCACAGAAGGGTACAATTTTTTGAATTAAATGGACAGATATTAACCACCTGAGATTACAAATGAAATTTATAAGTGGAACGGAAGTCGGATCCTTCTACTGATAGGGAAATATTCATGTTGCTATGCTTCAAGAACTAGACCTTTTGTCAAGGTCAAAAAAAAAAAAAAAGAACCAGACCTTTCGCAAGAGGGGTATGATTTTGACATAAATGGAACCAAAAAAACTTCCATTTTCTTTGTTCTTTCCTTAAATATTTCTGAAGTCCAGAACTGCAGCTCACTGAAATTAATCCCTCACGGCATCACCTCCCCCTATTGACCTGATTACGTTATGATATTATAATAATGAGTATATGCATTTGTAGAATTGAATGAAAGAATTATAGTAGCCAGCAAAAGTTCCTAGGCAAGGGTTCAAGTTCAACGTTCAAAAGTAAGTGTCCCTCTTTTTCTTGCCATGGTCCCCTGCCAAAAGACTTGCGCATTGACGCGGAAAGAGGAAAGAAATTTCACACATAATTTCTACCTCAGACATAAAGTTAGTTTCAATGGAATTCCAAGGAAATTACGCAGATATCAGAAAGTGTGATTTCCTCTACTTAAAATATGACACATTTTTTTTTACTAACCTAATAGCATGAAACCTCCCCTATAAATAAGAGGTTGCAAGTTCAATCGCATGTTTGGATCACCATTTCAACATGAAAAAGTGGATTGGAAAGTGCAAAACGTGAGTTGGTATGTGGTTAGAGATAGAGCCTTGTTTGGATCAACTTTTTTCCCAACTGGCTTCTTAAAAAAAACAAAAATGCTTGGTACAGTAAAAGTCAATTTTTCCTAGCTTTTGCAGTTTACCAATGTTACCAACCATGGAGACAGAAGATAAAATGAAGATGAGAAGAAAGATATGGCGATAACAATGGGTCATATCTTGACCCAGTAATTTGATTTTTTTAAAGAAAAAAATTAACTAATAAAATTTAATTAATTTACTTTATTATCTTTTTAAATCTATCAAATTGTATACATATGATATATTACATTTGCTCCTTAATATAAGACCATAATAGATTAGTTTGAACAGGTTACAAAAACTAAATAAATTATTTAATTATATTACAAGTTCCATGATTTTTCTAAAATACTTATGCATATCATTAGATTACATATTAATTTATAAGTCAAGCCAAATAATTTGAGAAAAAAGTAATAAATATAAATACTTTACAGTAATTTATTTAACTTTTTTAATTTTTTCAAATTAGTTAATTGAATCTTATATAAAAACTCATGCCTTTTTCAGTCATTTTATATCTGAACTCGCTTTTTTATTATTCATCTAAACAAGTTTTAACTTTTTAAACTGATTTTTTTAGAAATGTCAATCCAAACACAAATCATATTACACTGACTTTTATCCTAACTGACTTTTGCAAAAGTCAGACAAGATAAAAGTCAGTTTTGTCATCGCTAATCCAAACACAAATCGTATTACGCCAACCGACTTTTATCCTAACTGACTTTTGTAAAAATTAGATGAGATAAAAGTCGGTTTTGTCACCGCTAATCAAAACACACCATTTATAGTTTCAAACCTTCAAATTATCTGTGAATATTTAAACAAACGACTGAATTTCAAGGAACCAAATGGCGCAGGTTGCTGTGTTCAGCAACGATCATTGAAAAATTGGAGATATATTTAAGTTGGACTGGATTGAGGCATTGAGCCATTCGGAATTGGCTTTTGAGTTGGAGTTAGGGCGAGTTTACGACAATTGGGAGAGTTCACAACAACGGGATAGGTCAGACTCATCCTCAAAACAATTTTCATTTTCTTCCCTTTATGGCCTCTGCGAATTCATCATTTTCCCTATGCAACTGTAACTTTGACCTCAATCTATAAGCAGTTTAGAAAAAAGTATCTTCATACAAATTGAGCCAAAATTTTTTTCAAATTTCTCTAGTACACTGTAAAATCACTTCTAAAAAACTAATCCAAACATTCCCCTAAGAGATGAAGAGGTGTAAAAATGGAAAAAGAGAAATGATGTTGCAATTAAAAAAAAGAGGGAAGGAGAAGGAGACTAAGAGAGTGTTTGGATTAAGTTTTTAGAAGTGATTTTATGGTATTTAAAATTAAATATGTAAAAAAAATTTTATCTCGACTTAACGTAAATTTTTTTTTTAAAGTGTTCTTTAGGTTTTCCAAACTCTCCCTAGGAAAGAAGAAAGAGAGGAAGGAGGGAATTTTGAATTGAAGAAAGATAAAAAGCGGGGTGTCGAGGGGAGCGTATTTAGTAAAATGTCATTAAACTTTAAAATGATATAAAAAGTGTGGGAAAAGTGGGAAATCAATAAAAATTTAGAATATATTAATATTGGTAATATAAAAAATATTACAGTTTTACATTTGATAAGATACTTTTAATAAATTTTGTTGTAATATTTTTATACGTTATTTTAATAATTGTTAGATCACGTTATAAAGTTATTTAGTAAATTATTTTCCTCAAGTTGGCTGTATGATGGATGAATTCTTGGAACACCTGTCCATATCTCGCCCATTGGCTAGAACAGTCTGGTTTGGTGCCATATCCCTTCAAATTGACTCATTCTCATTTCACAATTTCAGAGATTGGCTTAAGCATATTCTAGTGGAGCTCTATAATAATCAGAATCCTCTTGTAGCCAAGAGTATTATTGTTCTCCTAAACACTATCCGGTATAAAAGGAATCTCATCCTTCATCAGGGTGGTTTTGCTGAACCTTCCCAGGTCATTCAGGAGATCAATTCTCAACTAAATTTCGTAGACACGGCCTTCTTTTGCCTAGGCAATTCTCCTCGGCCAGCAGAGAACATTAGGGCTGAAATTAGAGAAATCTCCACCTCTAGTTTCCAACAATGGGACATCATTCTACTTAAATTGAAAAAGGAAGTCTGCAGGCGCTCACTGTTCGGGCATTCTCTTATATAACCAAAAGGTGTGTTCCATAATACGATGGAGGCAAAAAAAAAAGTACGAGACGATCACTCATTCTATCCAAAATTCCCCTGGCAAATGATACTACGATTATTATCTTGGTCCAAACAGCTTAATGGGCAGCTTTCAGAGCTCAGAATCTGGTGCGCTGGAAAGCAATTCATCAATAGTCAGAACTTGAGCCCTTTGATCGCTGGAGTAGTGGTGCAAGACATTACAAGGATTGGCTCTCTTTTAAAATTGGTTAATTTAGAATACATTTCTTTTTCTTCTTTTCGAAAGTTAGATCTTTATTTTCTTCTCTTTCTACTAGTTGTGATTAACAATGTAATTATTAGTAATGGCATTTTGTCCTTCTTCCAAAAAAAAAAAAAAGAAGGGAAATTGAGGATGCCATGCTAGCATGTGTTGGAATAAGAGAAAGGGGATTATTTTGTCCTTGAGCAAATGAGAGAAGAAAACACGACTTGCAAGTCCTCGCTAACCACAAATAGATAAATATCCGATTTTGGTCTCACCAGAGACAAGGGCGCTTTGATTATTAAAAATTATAGCATCTCTCTAAAATAGTTAGATTATACTATTTAGATCCTATTTATAAGTCACTTCTAATATATTTTACATAGATCAATACAAATTTTAAAATTTATTAACTCGCATATAAAATCTAACAACTTTTTAATTTTATTCCTATTTAATATATAATACACCACATGAGAGCAACAAAGTCAACACAATAATAAAAAAGGGGTAAAATTATACATTTATATAAAAATTTTCTCTCTTTGCCATATAAATAAGACCAACATTTTTATTTTCTCTTTGACCTATAAATAGGACCGGAGAAATATATACGTAAGACAAATTAGTTTTAAAAAAATAATAAATATAAATACTTTAAAATGATTTAGTGATTTTCTTAGAATTTTTAGATTAATCAATCGCGCCTCATACAAGAGGAAAGAACAAAGTAGTAGTAGTAAGTTCGATTATCAGTTTAGACACCATGTTTTCGCATAGCGAAGGGAGTAGGCCCTTCTGCCTTGACCATGGGCTTCAGCCGAAACACATTGGCTGATGTTTTTGGAGAAATGGATGAACGGATAAAATTGCAATCAACCGGATGGCCAATTTGGTGTGTGTGTTTTTTTTTTCAATAAATACTCTCACATAAATAAAAACAAAGCTCATTTTACATATTTATTTTATATATCATAAAATTATTTTTAAAATATACTTACTTTGTATACTATAAAATTATGATTAAAATAATAATTTTGTTTCGTCCAAACACTTCTTGGTTATTAAACTATGTGTAGTCTTCGGTCTGTTGGATCAGTACTTTCAATAATTGCAAATAAACAAATGATACTGTGGCTTTCATAAAAACCGTGTGCGACTACTCAACTCAAATTAATATCTAAATGGTGGATCAGTCCAATGTTAGCTGAGTAGCAGCATCACCAAATTCTTCGGTCTCAACTTCCAGGTAAGCACCTAATCCTTTGCATTAAGTATTTTTTATTGCCCTGTGTTTTTTTTTTTTGGGTTGATATAATCTTTTCATCACTCAAATTTGTTCTTATTTTGATGTTAATCCTTCAAATTTCAAAACATAAATTTTGGGGCCTCAAGGAGTAAAATAATTTAAATTTTGATTAAATTATAGAAACCAATATTTTAAATGAAAAGAAACTTAAAAGACCAAAGTCAAAATAAAGGCAAAAAGAACAAAAATTGTATTAATCTTTTCTTTTTTAAAAAAAGTATCTTCCATTTAAGTAATTTTGGAAAGATTGTATTGCTTCAAATAATGTATGCAGAAATAAGTTTCACACAAGAAGAAGTTATTTCAGGAAATTTTACAAAATTTTTCACTTCAAGGGATTCACTGTAACTGTGTTGCTACTGCAGGAATTATATATAATTTAAATATTGTATTTCAACAATTTTCAATCTTAAATCAGCATCTTTTATTGGGGTTCAAAATTATATATATTTTTTAATTCCTTGAGTAAAAAATAAAAGTCAAAATGTGCGCGCTGTTGGTTGTTGGGGCCTTTTTTCATCCATTTGTATTGACACCAGCAATCAATTCAGTTTTCTGGGGCCTAATTAAAAATGAATTCACATTTCCTACTCATTGCATCGGGTATCACTTTTTCCTCCTTTTTTTCATTATTTAATTTTTTCATTAATTTTATTTTTTTATTTATTTGGGTTAACTTATATTTAGAACTCTAAAATATTTTTTAGTAATAGTCAGTATCTCAAATTAATTAATTGTTAATATATCTAGAGTATTTTTCAGTTAGTTAGTATTGTTAAAAAATACTCTAAAATGCTGGATACACTAAAAATTAATTTTTAATACTGGGTATTATAGAAAAATAATTCAAGATACTTAATACAGTAAAAATTAATTAATTCGTGATACTGTATGTTATTAAAAAAATACTTCAGAATACTTAATGCACTAAAAAAATAATTGAAGATGTTGAATGCATTAAAAATTAATTAACTAGGATACTGAATGTCAATGAAAAATATTTTAGAATGTGCTATATACACTAAATATTAATATAAATAAAACCTTTTTTTTTTTAAAAAAAAAAAAGTGGCCTTGTCTACCAAGCGACATGCCTGCTGAGAGATGCTTGAGCAGGGCATGTGGACCCATTTGAAAATAGGGTAACTTATAAGAATCACATAGAAATTACTTTCCAAGCACTAAATCAATATTTTAATTGTCATTTTATATTACCTTCACTCTTAAATATAAGAACTAGTTTGTAGTAAAAATTGTGTTACAAACTAGCTTTTATGCTACTTCGTTTCTATTTATAAATCACTTGTATCCTAAACACACAGACCAAAAAACACATTAAAATTATAATTTTTTTTACACATTTGCCTTTATTAAAGAAAAGAAATTAAAAATATGTTTTATAGTTTCTCTCATCTATTTACCTGTTCTCTGGGTATTTATTAAGTCAATAAGGGTAACATTGAAAAAAGACTTATTAATTTCCTCAAACGACTTGTAATTAAGAATAATTTTTTTCCCTCTACAAGTGACCTATTGATAAGAATAGAGAGGTATTTAGGAGCAGAGGCAGTAATTTTTATTATATTGGATCTGATTAAAAGAATATAATCCGAATAATTAAAGAATCTTACTCCCATGGCTATCCAAAGAAAACATTTATTTACAGGAAACATGATTTTGACATGTATTTAAAATTATTTTGTTGAGCAGACATCAACATGATAAGAAAAATCATCCAACACATTTAAGAAGGAATTAGACAAGATCAACTTAGATATCCCGCAAGGTCTACCGGGTATACAACTTCGTATGAATGAAGTGCTTCATCCGACCAGCTACTATTCAAAAGATATTGTTCCTTTAGAAAACAAAGTGATCATAGTAGGCATATGGGGAATTGGTAAAACAAATCTTGCTAGAGCTATTTATGATACAATTGGGGGCAGTTTTGAGAGTAAGAGTTTCCTTGAAAATATACAAAGTGTATAAGGGAAAGCTAATGGTCTTTTTTGTTTGCAAGAACAGCTTCTTTCAGATGTTTCTTATACAAAACATGAGAAGATAGTAGGAGTTTCCTGCTCACCAGAGGTTCGTTGAGCAGAGCATGCAGATGCCTTATTTCGTATCCCGCAAAATCATTTTCAAAAAAGCCAAACACTTTTTTAATTCCCTCAAAACGAGATTTTCTCACAAATATACCCTGAGATATTTTATCAGTTTAGAACATTACCCTTCTAATTATGACTATTAACCATTCTCATCTCCCGCCCGCAGGCCCGCGACCTCCCTCTTGAAGCTTCTTTGATCAGAATCGGTGACTCATGTAATGGCGAAGAAGTGGGCATGGGGCATCTCCAGAGCCTTCAAGCTCCTTTGATCTTCCATTTCTTTTCAACTACCCAACCTCGACCTCCATGAGAGGATGTGATGGTGCTTCAACGGCGACAGTGCCCCACAGCCACAATGCGACAGTGCTTGGCCTGTGACTAATGTGCACGGATGGTGGAGTGCAGAATTTCTAAACTACTCTATCGAGTTCTACATACAACATCTAATCGATACACATTTCCTAAATATCTTTATTTTTGGTCACCATGCATGCAGGCCCCTGAGCAGAGCAGATGATAATGTGTAGTGGAAAACAGATGAGAGAAAATAAATAAAAAAGAATATATAATTGATTGAAAATATAATAAAAATGTATTAAATTTAGGAAAAAGCACAAAAAAGGACCTGAAAATTATGAAATTTCAATTGAGACACCTAATACTTCAAAATCTCACAGGAGAAAGCGGTGTGTAATCTGGTGTTTTACAAATATAGTTAAATGACTAAAATATGTTTCTTTCAAAAAGTTTATTAATAAGTTATGAACTGGTAATGACAAGTATTAAATAACAAATAATAAGAAATGTACTTACAATAACAAATTATTTATTAACAAGTTATGAACTAGTAATAACAAATGTTGAATAACAAATGACGAGAAATATACTGAAAATGACAAATTTGAAATAAAGATATTTTAGTCATTTAATTCTATTTATAAAATATCAGATTAGGTACCACTTTCTTAAATTTTAAAGGGTTAGGTGGCTGAACAGTAATTTCACAATTTCCACGTTCTTTTTTGTTGTTTTCCCAAAATTTTAATTGAAAAATTATAATTTATAAGAATGATTAAGGACAATGGGGAGGAAAAGTTAAAAGTAGCCAGCGTGTAGGTCCCAAGCAAGAAAGAAACACGACGCGGGGAACTTCTTTTCCTGGCAATTGATAACATCGACTCGGCTCCGCCTTAATTGCTATTATAATAAAAACGGAACTGCGTTGTGGGATCGATAATTTGCTTATGAAGTAATAAGCCATGGCGTCTTGTTTCGCTTCTGCGTCTTCCAAATTCAAATACGACGTCTTCTTAACTCTGAGAGATCCCAAGGGTTGTGTGAAAGGCTATGTTGAGAATAAATTGAGAGTTGCTGGAACCAGAGTTTTCGTTGACGATGAAGAAGAAGCGTTTTCTGTACAAGAGGCCGAAGCCGCATTAGGATCACGGATCGTTGTTGTTTTATTCACGCCGGAGTTTCTTGAGTCGGAGAAGTGTCTCAAGAGACTGGTGATCAGAACTATGTGGTGGAATAACAACGTGGTGCCTGCATTCTGTGGAGTGAGCCGGCAGCAAGTACATGAGAAGATGCTGTCTTTGTCTTCCATATTTGATTTCGCCGGAGTTGCTTCCGGACCTGGCTTCAAACTCTCCATTGACTTCAGGTAATAAATTATCCTGTTTTGCTCCTCCATTTTTATACAGTGTCACCCAAAGAGGAAGTTTTGTTCTTTTTTTTTGGGACCTGAAAATAGGAAGTTTTGTTAAAGACCATTCTTTTTCAAATTTTATGATATATAAAATAGATATGTGAGATGAATTTTATTTTGAGCTATGTGGTTGTTTATAATAAAAACGAATACCTGTTGGTCTAGTTCTCCCCTCAGAGAAATCATGATTTTCCCTCTGTTTTTGGCTGCTAAAGTGTCTTTCTTCGTTTTTTTGTTGTGAGGTGCAAATGTAATTATGCAGAGCAAATTGTTTTGTCACTTCACGATCCCCCTTACTGATAAAAGGCTTTCCAAATTTGACTGCTATCAGAAACACTAACTCTATTTTGGCTTGGATAGAAAGAAAATGAGAGGAAAAAAACCTAAAAAGAAAAGTAAAAAGAAAACTGAGTTTTCTGAGAAAAAAATGGGAGAAAAGAAAAACTGAAGAGAAAATAAAATGTGGGATCCATCTGAATTTTTTTCCAACTTTTTTCTCCGTCTGTGAAGTGAAAATGAGGAGAAAACTCATTTTTTTCTTCATGTCCTCCGTATCTTATTTTTATACTATATTTTTAATATTTGTTAAATATTTTGAATAATGTATAATATACTTATTTTCTTTAATTATATCTAATTCAAAAAATTATCCACTTTTTATTTTTTACTCTGAAAAATAACATTTTCTTTAAATTATCTTGTTTAAAATATGGTAACATGAAAATATATATTTATCAAATACTTTAATTTTAAATTATTTTTTGTAAAATAATTTTAAATTATTTGATAATTTGGTTTCTGCATTTAATTATTTAATTTGATTTTGAACATGATATAGTTCTTACATAAAAACATTTTTATTATTTAGATATTTGCTTATTTTCTTTCTTCTGATTTTTTTGGCTTATTTATCCAAATATGTAATAACATTTTCTCTCTGTTTTTTGTCCTCTCATTTTCTTTGCTAGTAACTTTTCTTCTCATCCAAACCAAGCATAAAGAGACGTTCTTAGATCTTCCTTTTTTTAGATTATCAAACCAC